GTGGTAGATGGTCGCCTACCCCAAGCTCTCCTCCATTCTGGCCTTTTTTCAGGAAGTGCTTGTTGGGAGCCCCGTGGGCCTCTTCCCACTTGCTGGTCGAGGAGATTGGGTTCTGTCGCTTCTCGCTGGCCTCTCACGTCGTCTCCTATTATCTGGGAAGTGGCCCTGAGAGGTCAGCAAGGCTCTAGGCCTGCTTCTCTGATGAGAAAACTGTGATGGAGAGAGACGGCTGGCTTAAGCCACCGCCCACCGGCTGACCATCCAAGCCTGACCCAGCTCTGTCCTGCGTGTCCTTCTGTGTTGCTGTCTCCCTCAGGGGACGCTGATTTCCCAACTTTTTCAGGGTCACTGGGAGCAAGAAGTCCACCAAGAGGACCAAATCCATGAATGGCTCCCTGTACATCTTCAGGGGCCGGATCAACACCGAGGTCATGGAGGTGGAGAACGTGGAAGACGGGACAGGTAGGCCTGCCGCTCAGCCCGCCCAGCCCGCCTGCCCAGACAACTCCTTTTACTGTGATGTGTAACCTGCCTACAGACAGTGCCTGGTGGGCAGTACCCGAGTGAGCCCCCGGGGCGTGAGGCGTCCACCTGAGAGAAGGCAGCGCCCCGTCCTTCGTCCTTCCTGTGGGGCGCTGCCGGCCCAGGAGGGGCCTCAGCCGGACTCTGTGATGACCGTGTCTTTGCTGTTATTCATATTTCCCCCACTGCGTCTTCCTTACTGAGCATTTTAAGTAAAATCCCCGTGCTCTCCAGCTCACTAGGTGGGTGTGCCTGTTGAAGAGGCTCTGGACACACTCGGTCACGCGCAGTGCCACAGCTGTCTAGCCACAGGTTGTGCCACTGCCTGTGGTGGGTCCCCGCTGCCCCTGCCGCGGCTCTCGGCACACATTGCCCTCCGTGGCTGGGTGGTGTCCACTGCAGGAGTGTCCTGGTTCACCTCAAGGCCCTGCCCTTGGCCTTGGGGCTGAACTAGTGCCCGAGTGGCACAGGGAAAGGCTGGGAGGCCCCCTGGGCTCCCGACAGGTGTCCCCTGCCACTCTGTCTGCGCGCCCACACGAGGCCCCGTGTCATTGAGGACCCGAGGGGTCTTTGAGGAAGGTCTTCCTTGCCCCCAGAGAGCAGCCCCGAAGGGGTGGTTCCAACGGTGAATGTCCAGCTCTGGGTCCTGCCCCTGCTGCTGGCCCTGCCCCTCCGTGCTGGAGCGAAAGGCGGTCCCCACCTGGCCTTGGTGGGACGTCCGGAGTCACATGACCCACCCCTGCCACCTGTCCCTGCCAGCCGACTACCACAGCAACGGCTACACGGTCACCAATGGCTGGAAGATCCACAACACCGCCAAGAACAAGTGGTTCGTGTGCATGGCCAAGACGGCCGAGGAGAAGCAGAAGTGGCTGGACGCCATCATCCGCGAGCGGGAGCAGCGCGAGAGTGAGTGCCTGGGCCGCGCAGGGCTCTGCAGGCCAGGGTGGCCGACGAGGGGCCGAGGGTTCTCTCTAGAAAGCTCCGAGCTCCGAGACGAGGAGCTGGCGGGAGCCACGGGACTGTGCAGGGACTTGGTGCCTGGGGTGGAGGTGATGGGGCTGCCCCGTCCCCCCAGGACGCCCCCTCCCCTGCCGCTCACTGGGCCTGTGCTGCTTGTTGGTGTCCGCTGGCTGAGGGTCTAGGAGAGGCCCTTCGGGGCTTCCCCTTGAGCATGGTCGGGAACCCCCTGGGCACAGGGACTCGGAGGCAGGTCAGGTCACAGAAGGGACCCCAGGGCTGGCAGTGATGGGGTGTGGGGTGTGTGCTCTGAACTGGGGGGCGCTGAGCTGTGGGCAGAGGCCCCCGGGCTGGGAAGGGCCCCCGTGTCTGGCGAAAGGCTCCAGCTTCCCAGGCCCCTGTGGAAGGCAGACGCTCCTGGGCAGGGCTGTGACCCTGCTGCGTGAGACCTGGCACTTGAGGACCTGGGGAGTCCCACACGAGGTCCCTCCTGTTTCCTGCTGTTGCCGTGGCGTGGTGGACAGCTGTCCCTTGTCTCTTCCCAGCTGGTCTTCCCCGGGACCCAGGAGCAGCTGGGGCCCTCCACTTGCCCCGGCTCAGAGTCTGACTGGCCCCACCCTGACCCCTCGTCCCACTCCCCAGTGTTAGTCGATGGGCAAGGAAGGCCGTTGGGTCTGCGTTCCGCAGGGCGCCAGGTTCAGGCTCCACTGCGCTCCACCTGCAGCCAGGCACTGGTCACTGTCACCTCTGGGGAGGGGGCAACACGGCCACTGCTGTGGGCGCCCCTTCTCCAGGAGACACCTGGACCATCGGGAGGTATTTCCAACGTTGAGTTTGCATCAAAACATTAAAGACCCAGTGAACTACGGGGCTTGGCCTTGTTGGGCAAGGATGTGACCTCTGACACTGACCAGGGTGGCTATGGCAGGCCTGGGGGGGTGCTGTGGCCGGCACTGGGTGACCATGGTCATGGGTCAGGTGGGGCCCAAGGGGCTCTGGTCATTGGAATTGGGCTGGTGCACAGGCTGCTGCTGTGGTCAGGAGCCAGGTCTGGAGCCCACTTCCTGGATCAAAATCCTGGTTCCGCCCTTTCTTGTTGGGCCGTTGGACTGAGAACCTGACTTCCCTGGGCCTCAGTATGACCTGGGGACGGTCCTGGATCTGTCATGGTTCCAGGTTCTTGTGAGGGACCCATTGCGTGTCGTCCCACTGTGAAGGCGTCTGCCATTATTGCTTGCCCTTGCTGCTGTCCAGCCTGGACGGTGTGCAGAGAGGAAGGTCAGTTTGGAGGGTCGGCCAGCTGGCAGCCCAGGCTGGAGTGCAGGGGGCTCCGGGCTCTCTGCCAGCCTCTGCGGTTGGAACCGCACCCGGGGCTGGGGGAACGTGGCTGTGGGGCCGGCTCCCGGGGTGAGGGCCGGACCCCGCCGTGCGAGGCGGTGCCTGCGAGGACTGCATGGCAGTGTCTGGAGCGCTGGTGGCCGACAGGAATTGCTCATGGCTGCCCTGGGTGGCTGCGGTGGGGCTGGTGGGGCTGGTGGGGCAGTTTTCAGGAGCTGCGGGCTGCTCCGCTCTGTCCCCGTGCAGGCCTGAAGCTGGGCATGGAGCGCGACGCCTACGTCATGATCGCGGAGAAGGGGGAGAAGCTGTACCACCTCATGATGAGCAAGAAGGTGAACCTCATCAAGGACCGGCGCCGGAAGCTGAGCACCGTGCCCAAGTGCTTCCTGGGCAAGTGAGTGCGCGCCCCGGCCGACTCCCACACCCCTCCCCACGCCCTCCTGGACAGAGCCACCCAGGACCCCTGTTCCTGTGGAGCCACCTCAGAGTCAAGAGGCTGGGGTCCCAGGCAGTTTTCAACCCACTGTGAGGTCCTTGTCACGCCATGGCTGGCCGCGCACGGCATGCTGTGGAGTGGCTGCCCACTGCTGCGCTCCCGCCTCCCGCCCCGGCTGGCGCCTGGGGTGGCCGAGCAGAAGGGGAGGAGGGTGGGAGGCGGGTGGAGCTCAGCCCACTCTTCACTTTTTGAAGCTGGACATGAACCTGGACATGGGGAGGGAAGTCTCCTGGGAACCCTGCCTGTGGGAGGAAGGGGCAAGGCGGTGGGTACCCGCAGCCGGGGGAAGAGGAGAGGGGAAGTGGGAGAAAGTCAGGCCGAGCGAGCCTGGTTTTAGCTGTGCTAAGGTTAAAATGCCTGCAGACAGTCGGTGTCCACTTGGGCCCAGCCTGGAGGGGCGGCGCCCAGCCTGGAGGGGGGGCCAGCCTGGAGGGGGCGGGCCCAGCCTGGAGGGGGGCAGGGCTGAGCTTGGGGTCGGGTCAGCAGCTGGGGTTCTGCTCTCCCTGGGGTGTCTGTGAGGGGAAGTTGGGGCCTGGGAGGCAGCGGAGGGGCCTGGCTGCTCTCCACCAGCTAATCCCTAATCCTAGCTAAAAGGACGCTGGCCCCTTTCTGGGAGGGGCTGCTTCCGGCCTCTGGTCAGAGAACCTTCCTACCCCCTGCCAAGCCCAGCAGAGCCCAGAGTGTCAGAGGAGCTCCTCCTCAGGAAGGATTAGGGGACGCTCCTCCTGCCCCTTTGAACCAGGGCCAGGTTCACAGCCTGCTTTTTAGCCACGGGGCCCAGGAGGCCACAGCCCCGAGGGAGACCTTCTAAGAAACCTGCTTCCCGCGCAGCGCCCTCTGCACCTGCCCGGCTGAGGCCTCTTTTCCACGGGGCCAGCTCCCGAGCTCTGCATGAGCCGGTCCCCTCCCGTGGACGGAGTCAGTGGCCACAGAGACGGTTTGTCCAGCCCTGCCTCTGCTGCCTGGCACTGACAGAGGCGGGTCACTGTGCTGTCCCCACTTTAAGGGCCAGGAGAAGGCCCAGCACGGGGGCTGGTGACTTGGCGGGCTCTGCCCCTCTCCTGCTCTGCCGTGTTTGCTCACTTTTATCTGTGAATCCAGAACATGTCTGGTGTGGCTTTTTGGACTTCAGGGGCTAGGCTCTGAGTCACACTGGGCTCAGGGCTGGTTTCCCTCACTCTCTCGCTGGGTGACATTGGACAAGCCTCTTAACCTTGCTGAATTTCAATCTGTGATCAAAGAGAATAACATGGCCCTCAGGGTTGCTGAAGGAGGCAGGTGACACCCGTGAGGTGGCTATACATAAAAGTGACCTAGGTGCAAAACCTGTGTGTCACTGCGGAGGCCCCGGGAGGCCCACGCCTCCCGCCACCCTCAGGTTAGTTGAAACCATCAGATTCAACCATCCTTTGCTCCTATTGACCCAACCCCTCCCCTGGGCCAGCTGGGGACAGAACCCTGGGAGTGCCTGCCCTCAGGGAGACACCTGTCTAGAGAGTAGCCAGACGCAGGCTGCAGGACGGATGGAGTGAAGGGGTCTTTCTGGACTCTGCCCGGAGCTGCAAGGCAGGGGGGGAGTGGGGCTGGTTCAGGGGGTGCACGGGCCTCTCGGGGTGCTGTTTCAACAAGGTCCGAGTGACCAGCACCCGCCAGAAGACCCGGAGCAGGCGAGGGAACAGCAGGCAGGAGTCCTGAGGGTGGAGGGAGGCCAGCAGGGAGGCAGGAGGCCGCAGGTGGCCACAGGGTGGGAGACCAGGGTTGCCCCAGGAACCAGAGGGCTGGGTCAGCAGCGCCTGGGTCGGGGCTCTAATTTTATGCTAGGTGCTGAGAAGGCACTTGGGAGGCGCAGCAGGGCCTGGGGGCTGCCAGAGCTCAGGGGACCACATGGGACAAGGTGTGGTCAGCAGGGCGGTCAGCGAAGGCTTCCTGGAAGGAGAGAGCCTTGGTTCCACCGTCCGTGGTGGTTAGAGGCATTGAGTTACTGACATCTGCTGGAGGTGGACCTTCTTACTGACCTGGAGGGGGCGGCCTCCCTGCCCAGGCCTCCCTGCCTGGGCCTCCTATGTGCCCAGGTGTGGGGATGAGTTGTGAGGAGGAGGGGGATCCATTTGTCAGGCGTGCTGTGGACACCTCCACCATGAGAGCCCAGGCCCAGCGGGCAGCAGGCAAGACAAAGGGCCCCCTGAGGGGACTTGGCTTGGTGGCCTGGTGTGGGCTAAGTGAGTGAGTAGAGGAGGCCGGGAGCTGACTCGCCCTGATCAGCGGGACCCCAGCCCTGATCTGCAGCGGCTCTGGCCACTCCAGGGGGCTTTTCCCGTCCAGGGACAGCAGCCTGCTTGGGCCACATCTTTCTGGAACCCGGACCTTGCTGCCCTTCGTGCTGCGCTGGTGCCCTCCCACCTGGCTTCTCACACACTGTCCTGCCCTGCGCTGGCTCGCGGTGTCCCACGAGTCCCACGCCTTCCCTGGGCCACGCTCCTGGGCACTGGCTGGAGGCTGGAGGCGGTGGGCGGGAGAGCGCAGGCCCCGCAGGGAGAGCTCGGCTGGTCGTGCAGCTGCGTCCAGGCCGAGGTTCCTTATGACCAGAAGGTACTCCCACCAAGCCCAGCCGGTTCCTGAGTGAACCCCTTGCCAGGTGGACCCTGCGAGGCCCAGACAGGGATAGAAAGTCGCCCAGATTTGTCCAGAACGCCGTGAACCTTCCTGATCCCCAGAAGGTGGCGAGGTCCAGTTTGGGAGCTCCCGGGTCCACGTTGTTGTCCTGTGACTGTCTTCTCCCACCCCCGCAGCTGCTGAGGGCCACTTCCTGTCCCTCCTTCCTGGCTCAGGGCTGCTGGCCAGTGCTAGAGGTGGCCCCCAGCCGGACAGCTGGTGGGCAGCTGGACGCTGGGTCCCGGCTTCCGAGAGTGGGCACGCAGACATCCGCTCCCTCCTGCAGCTGCTGGCAGCGGGTCTGGGTGCTGGGGCTGTGGGACGCTGAGAGCGAGCGCTCTCCTTCCCCGCGCTGGTCTGCAGAGTGGACGCCTCTCCTTCCCGCCTCCAGCAGGGCTTTCTGACTGCCCGGCACACCAACCGCTGCCTACAACCGCAGGGCTTCCCCTGCCAAACCGGGGAGGCTAAAAATAGTTTCCCCGCGGGACAGCAGGCTTCAGTGAGCAGGAGAGCGTGGGGCCCTGGCTGGCTGCCACCTGCTGTCATTGAGCACAAAACAGGTCCCCCTTCCTGCTCTCTCATGAGGGCTAAACTCTGTGCTGAGCCCAGGAAGAGCTCCCGGAGCGGGGCCCTGGCCTGGCTGGCCTCTCCCCACCGGGTGCGCTGGGCTCAAGAGCTGCCCGTCTCCTCTGCCCCCCCCCGACACACTGTCTCCCCGACCTTCCTGCTGACCCAGAACAGTCCTCCTTGCTTGATGGTTGCTTCCTTTATTTGTTTAGTGGATGATTAGTGCGTCCTGTTGTGCGTGAGGCCTCTCCCAGGCTGGGACACAGTGGGTAGCACTCGGTTTACAGGGAGATTGCGTTGTGGCTGTAGGAGGTGGCTGAGAGGGATAAATCCGCAAATGAGATAAATTCAGTCAGTGATAAGTGCTACGGAGGAAGAACAGGGCCACTGAGTGGGTTGTGTTGCCAGACAACGCGCCTCCTTCAGGGAGGTGATGTTTGTGCTGAGACCTGAAGGATGAAAAGAAGGCCACATGAAGAGCTGGGGAAGGGCATTTCCAGGCAGAGGGAACAGGCAGTGCAAAGGCCCTGGGGCAGGAAGAGTCTGGCACCTTTCAGGAAGGGAAGATCCTCTCACCTTCCTTTCCTTTACCGGCCCATCTACTTGCCTGCCAGTCACCTGTCCATCACTTGTCTGTCTGTCCATTCATGGGTCCACCCATCCGTCCACTGCTCCATCCTTTGAGCCTGAGGCAGACCTAGGGCCTGGCCATGTGTCCCTCTGCCATGGGTAATGGGAGATGCGCAGGCCTCCACTGGTGGCCAGGCTGGGCTCCCCAGCCTCCCTTTCCATGGGAGGTTCTGACTGGCTTCAGGGTCCCATGGCCGGGCCTGGCCCTGCAGCCCCCAGCCCCAGCCCTGCAGCCCCGGCCCCACAGCTCT